GGCCCGCTGCTCCGGGCACCCTCGACCCAGCGCCCGGCGGCGAGGGGCCAGCAGCTTCGAGGCCTCGGGTGCGCTCCCCGGGAAGAAGTCTCGGGATGGGGGTGGGGAGGGGCGCGGTTTCCTTCGGCTGCCCACTGGCCCCTTTCCGCTGCAAGTCCTCCCCGGGAGAAGGAGAGGCCTGAGCCCGGGGCGCCATTGCCCAGGCCGGGCTCCCCTCCCCCACTCTTCTTCCTCAGCTTTTCCGAGACCCGGGAGGGAGGAGGCGGGCGCCTCTGCCGATAGAGCAGCTATTGTGACCTTCCTTCGCAGAGCGGGAATCCAGTCGAGTGTATACCACGGGCGGGGGCGGGGGCGGGGAGGCGACTGTGTGCAAACCTCGGGGTGCGGAGGGGTGGCCTGGGGAAATAAATAAAGGTTTGCAACCTTGGGCAGTTGGGCGCTTCAGAGAGTGGTTGTGTTTAGACGCCGGTGCTTCCTAACACTAATTGCGGGCTCAAAAGGAGCAGAATTTATGGTGAAGGCCAAGGCGGCTTGTTTATAATTTATGAAGTTTTAAATGGCTGTGCGCGGTCCCAGGCTCTCGCTCTGGCCGGCGGCCGCGTGGGAAGTGCCCTCCCCAGACCCGCCGCCGCCCCCACTCGCGCCGGGAGCGACGGATTGTGCCCATCACATGACACGCCAATGGCAGGAACGTATCGGAGCCATTCTCAGAAGCCTCGGTGAGAGAGGACCGCAGATTTGTCCCAAGCGAACTCCTACTCGACTAACGAGAGATGCCTCGGGGCGGCTGCGGCTGCCTGGAGAGGGAGCCCCCAACTCTGCACTTCTTTGGAGCCTGAGAGTGAGGGAAAGCTAATGTCAGCTGGGCTAGACGTCGTTTAAAATCTAATCCATGAAAGCCTAAGCCACAGATGACACTTGGGGCCTTGCAGACACCCGCAGACTCAGCAGATACTCCTGCGGTAACACACCGCGCTGGAAAACGCCTGGAGCCGTGATGCATTATGTATTTTTATTATTATTTATAGTAGGAAGAGGAGATGAGGGAAAACCGGGCTGAATCTAAACAGCCTGACAATTCATCTATTTAATATTTAGCCAGTTAAGAAAGGTGGTTGTAATCCCTGCAAGGCAGTAAGCTCTTTGATTTCCCTAATAGCTTAAAAAATAATTTCTCACAAAACAATTAGAAATTCTGCCTATGGTTGCAAATTTCATAGAAAAACAATTTTAAGCCTTGAAGTGGGTAAAATATCCCCTCGGTTGAAGTCATTTATTCTGTTGATACACTTCTACAACATGTATACTTTAAACCTGCTCTGATAAAGTGAAATTTACCAAAAAGACAATCCCCTCCCGCCCCCAGTCTAACATGCCATTTTAAAAACAGCACAAAGGAACAAGGAAACTAAATATTATTTTTGATCCATCATTATTTAGCGAAACACAAACATCCAAATAGAAACGATTGTTCCACCATAAGATTAGAAGTTAAATTATTTCCACACAATAGGAATTTCACCTTGTGTCACTGGGGATGTAGTAGGAGTTGCATTATTTGTCAAACCAAATAAAGATGCGTGGGCCGACTTTACTGAAATACAAAAAAAAATGAACGTTTTCTGAAGGCGTTTTCCAAGTGTTTCTTCCTAGAGAAGCGGATGTAAGTAGTCCACCCCAGCTAAAGCCACGTGAATATTTACAAAACGGTTATAAATCCTTGAAGATGTTTTTGCCCATTTTGTACAAAGAAATAGGAGTTAAACAGGTGTTTATACTTGTTTGTTCCATTAATGAAACTTTTATTACTTTACATCATGGGGTACGTTTGTTTTCTTTAGAAATGAACCACCGACTTCTATAAAGGAAAAAATCTGACAGCATTTTCTAGAGAAAAAGCTTAAGTGTGTGGCTTCAAACGATCATTTCTTTTTCTGCACCTTAGCTTTTTCATAGCTCAGTTCTTCTTATGAGTTTTCTTGTGTCTTTTCTTTGATTGTCAATTTTCTTTCCGTTTTTTTTAACTACTTAACGCAGAAAAGTGAGCTCTGCCCTCCCCAATGTAAATGCAACCTAAAAAAGTCGATTTGTGTCCAGAAAGAGAACGATAGAAACAGCAAAGCAGGCAGCAGTGAAAAGCCCTACCCAAATCATCCCTGGCAGAACACTTTTAGGTTTGTATCCTCAGATATTTATCCCCTAATGTCAACAGCAGGAATATAATCAACTATCCCCAGAACCAATTTGTGTACTAGATTCCAAATAAATGGAAAAAAATATTTCAAAGGGTCAGCCTATTGTGGGGCCTTCCACCGGGATTGTACGCAAGATAAAGGCAAGTGTGTGTGATTAACACAGATACACTTCTGACTGAGAAATTTTTTTTATTCTAAATGTTTGTTCAAATAGTACCAGACAATTTGAAATCAATAAACTGTGTCCAGTGGCAAGGGCTGCGGCTGTTCAGAAATGAGTAACGGGTGTCTTGCCACGCCACGGGCCACCTGACTTACCCATGAAGAACAATTTGCGGTCTTAATCCTTTACATCAACTACAAACACCAGCCACAGTTACAACTGTTCAAAACTACTCTCTCAACTAGTTCAGACCAAGGGGACTAAAGAAGTGAAATGGGGCCCCCGGTGGCCTGGAAGCACGTTCCTAAACTCGGCTGGGAAATTCTACAAATATACACATAAATACATTAAGACGAGGATAAATAATCTGGGAAACGAAACGACTCGCTTCAAATAATAAATACAGATCGTTGAGTCCGATGCAATCTTGACGGGAAGAAGCTTATAAATTAAGGGCTCCGCAACTAAACTAGACGCGGGTCAGGCCCGGGCTCTCCGGGCTCTGGTCCCTCTGCAAGGCGCGCCGCACATGGACCTCAGACTTACCTTCGGGACACCATTACCAGATTAGAGTCCCTCGGTCCGCATGATACGGCACTGTCAGGCTTACAGAGGAGAATCCTCGCGGCTGATTTATGGCGAGTCACCCAAATAAGGGCGCGCCTGGAGAGGAGGCCCAGTTGCCTGCGCCTCGGCCGCTCTTGGCCCGAGACCCGGAGGCAGCGACCGGGCCAGAGCGAGGGAGGGGGAGTCACCGAGCTGCCCCGCCGGCCCCGCCCGCCACCCCCGCCACCCAAACAAACGAGGTAATTGCGCCGCGAGTTCGGGCTGTTGGCGGCCGCTACAGATGCGTCAGTTTGGGGGCCTCGGGCAGGCGTCCCTGAGACGAGTGGTGGGCCGAGAGATCTGTGTAGGTGGGATGAGGGTCACACGGTCCATGGTGGTGGTTGCCAGGAATCTGCGCGGCGCAACTGTAGTCCACGCTGGCCGAAGATGGGTGCGAGAGGTGGCCCAGGTTGAAGACCGGCCCAGACGCGGGCGCCATGGAGTCGACGAAGTTGCCGCCCACGTACACCGGGCTTCCCTGCAGGTTGGCGCTGGCGAAGCCGCCGCCGTTGCTCGCCATGGGGTGAGGCTCGAACTCGGGCGCCGCGTAGCGCTTCTGCTGTGGCAGGCAGCTGCTGAGCGGCGCCGTGTAGGCGGCCAGGCCGTACATGTTGGGCTGAGATTTGGCGAAGGCGGGAGGCGAGGGCGCGTCGTAGGCCAGCCCGGGCACGGGTGGCAGCTGGCCGGAGTAGGCCACGTGGCCAGCGGCGCCGCCGAGAGGCGGACTGCGCTCCGGGGACTGACCCGCCGGCGAGTGCAGGATGCCCTTGGCCTTCTGGTCCTTCTTGTACTTCATGCGCCGGTTCTGGAACCAGATCTTGATCTGGCGCTCGGTGAGGTTCAGCAGGTTGGCCATCTCCACGCGGCGTGGCCGGCACAAGTAGCGGTTGAAGTGGAATTCCTTCTCCAACTCCACCAGCTGGGCACTTGTGTACGCCGTGCGCACCCGCTTGGACGCTGGGCCCGGCGGGCTCTTGTCCTCGCAGCTGTCTCCTGGGCAGGGAGGGAGAGAGGGGACGCTGAGCCTAAGAGGTGGGGACACCCAGGGCCCAGAGAGGGGTGCTTCCCTGGCTCCCTCCTCTTCCTTCACCCCTCCCTCCCTTAATCCTAACTGGAGTGGAGGAGGGGCGTTGAGAGGTGAGATTCCCAGGGGGAACTCAACGGCTCCAGGCCTACCTATCAGTCGCACCTGAAACCCCCATCTGCCTTCTGAAGTTCAATTCACTCTGCCCGGCCCCTCCCCTTCAACCAAGTCCATCATCCCATCCGGGGCTGTGGAGGAGTTTAGTGAGAGACTAGTAGCAGCTGGTAAGGCCTCCCCTTGTCAAAGAAGACTTCTTTGAATGCTCCTCCCAGCCTCTGCTGCTGGGGTTGGGGCTCAGGAGGCAGCCCCAGTCTGCCTTGTTCAGAGGCTGGCTCTTGAGCAAAGCACCCTAGGAAGCATGGAATGAGGGTGGAGATCTTGGCACCTCACTCCAGCCCAGCTGCACCTATGGACTCTGTACCCAAATGCAGGAAAGTTACAAACCATAAAAACACTGCCCCAGAGTTTTAGGGGATCCAAGGCCAGGCTGGGCATATTTTGAGTATTGCAGTGCTGGGAGCAGCAGTCTCAACACTGGTTTCCACAGCCCCTGCCACCCACCTCTCACAGCTTGTCCACTCCCTCCCTAGGAAGACAAATGGATTTCTCCTGGGAGGGAGGGCCTGGGCCTGCAGCTGGGAAGGAGGGGCAGGAGGAGAAGGAGCTTACAGGCTTGAAGACACTTTTGTCTTGGTGCAGCAACCCCAGAGGCCTGATAACAAGCTAGCTACAGCCTGGGCCTCAAGTTAGCTCTGGACCTGGGAGCCAGTTTATCTACCTGGAAATAAAAGTACATCAGAGAACACAAGGCCAGAAAAGTTCAGGAACCAAGCCAACTGAGCAGAGGGAGACAGCAGGCCTCAGAGCTCCTGGCCCTGCCTGTCTTCCTCTACACACCCTGAATGAACCTACAGAAGATCCTCTCAACTCCAGGGTCTCCCTTTCCAGGGAGAAAACCCCAATGCTGCTCATGTTTGAGTACATCCTCTTCCCCTAGGATATACCCCTTCACATTAGGGACTTGCTGAGATGGGGAGAATTGGGCTGGAGTGGGCCAAGTAGAACTCCATGGTTATGCCCTGCAGGCCCTGGTTGGAGTCAAGTGTGCCATTTTGTAGTTTTGTGATCTTGGGCAAGTGACTTATTTCTAACAGTTTCCTTATCTGTAAAGTGGGATGTTACCATACACCTCCCTCAAAGACTTCTTTGGAAAATTAAATTAGTTAGTGCTTGTAAAGCACTTAACATGGTTCTTAACATAGCACTCCACAGACTTTAGTTCTTGTTAATTTAAGGGAGTGTGGGATTCATGTGATATGGGCTACCTAACCACCTGAACCTCGGAATCATAATACCTATCTTCAAGGTCTGAAGAACTGTTGGCTGGAAGAGAGAGCTGAGTTCTGACCAGCAGCCCAGGAAAGCAGATATTAGGTCAGTATAAGGAAGAGCTGTCTATTAATAACTATGAGACTTGTCCAGTAATGGTGCCAGCTGCCTGGAATGGAAGTCAGCACTCTGTCACTGTAAGGATATGACCTCAATCAGAGACACTAAATAGAATATTTCTGCATGAGTTAGAGTTTAGATATATGGCCTCCAAAGTTGTACATCCAGCCCTGAGTCTCTTGATACCTAGGTGAGCTAGTTTCTTGGGGTCAGTCTGGGAGTGAGTCCCCTCAGAGAGCTACCTGCAGTGGCACAGTTGTTCTTCTGCTTGGAGTTCTGTCGAGACTCTTTCATCCAGGGAAAGATCTGCTTGCTTATAGTGGCTGAAGAGCTAGAAGCATTGGGCCCACCCTTGGCCTTCTTGGTGGGTACTCCACCTCCAGGATTGGTGGGTGAGGATGGGGGCAGGGTCGGGGGTGGAGGAGGGGGTTGTGGTGGCTGCTGCTCTGAGTTCAGCCCAGGAGGCTGGCTACCACCACTCCCACCCTGGCTGTTCCCAGTACCAGGCCTCATGCAGCTGCCATTGAGTTCAGCCCCCTTGTGCGCTGGGGCTCGCAGAGGTGCAGAGCTCTGGATGGAGCAGGCAGAGCTTGGGTAATCAGTGTCCAGGGAGTTGGCAGCAGCAGGGGGTGGATAAGGCTGATGGGGGGCACCATAGCCATAAGTGTCAGCAGCTTTGCTGTAGCCATAGCCTCCAAAGAGTCCTGGGTTTTCATAGTAAGCAGCCTTCTGCATCGTGTACTCAATAGCTCCAGGGCCTGCTGACCCTGCTCAAATAACATTGACCACCACTGTCTCCTTCACCACCACTTCCAGTGTCTGCCAGATCCTGAGAGAGCTGGGGCAGCCCTGCAAAGAAGAAAAGTGAGAGGCCTCAGAGGGACTGTCATTGGCAAGTTAATATAGAAGGACTAACCCAGGCTCTCTGCTTCCCGCCCACTTCATAGTGGGAGGATTTGGGATTTTATTTGAACCCTTGGAAAAGTCAGAAGGAATTTCTCATAAACATAAGAAAAGACTTCTCTTTAGCTCAGCTCCATTCAAAGGAAGGGGCTTTTCTTTTTCTTTTCTTTTTTTTTTTTAACAGATACAACTTTCTTTCTCCAAGGTTATCACTTTAGCCTTTGAAACTACATAGAAAAGCACTTAGAGCCTCATACATTTTAATGGCTGATTCTCCCCCTAGACTTGAGTTCCTTGCAGGCAGGGACTGTGTCCTATTTACCTATATATTCCTAACATCCAGCCCACATGTAGTAAGTGCAATAAATGCTTGTTGAGTGAATGAATGAATGGATCAATCAGTTCATTATTGAATCATCCCACGGTTTTGATGAGGGAAAAAAGTCCTATAACACACTCAGAACAGCCAGAGCTCTCAAAAAAAAAAAAAAAGTATCTCCCCCACCTGGTTTCAAAAATCACAGCATCTTTCATGGAGACCAAGATAGTCCACTTTCCGGTGACAGTGTGAGAATCGGCTGGTTAGCTCTGTGCGTCAGCACTGTGAAATCTACTAGGAGATAAAAGCCAAAAAGAAGACTTAAAGACTCCCGGACTTATTTTGATTCTAGAAAAGTTTCTTCTCTTTCATCTACATTTTTCTAGATGCTTACATTGTCCTCCACTACTTTTAAATGGATACTACTGGAAATAAGTGAAGAGATTTAGAATTTGAAGTACATGGAGCATGGGTGAATGGAGAATGCTTTATATTCTAACTTTATCATTTTTATCTTGCATCCATTGTATAAATAGATATTACTATTGACTTGTGCTCTGGATCATCCATTCCACTCCACCTCCTACCCAACCTACAACCAATGAGAGAACCTCTCATGGCATGATGGATGGACCCAGATTAGAAGAAGAAGAAAAAAAAACTAAAAATATTCTATGCCTTTTGTGTCCTCCTACTCTTGATGGGGGGTTTCCCTTCTCACTCACCCCCCTTCTCCTGAAAGGCCCCTAATAAGTTAAAGTATAACTGATACCATTCAACCACTTTTGTCTGCTTGATAATGAAAACTCATAGGTCAGCTCCCTGGTCTGAATTCTTAATCTCATCTTTCAGGCAACTTTCCTTCCCCCAAACTCCCAGGCTTCCGTTGTGATCATCATGTTGGACCACATTATCTACACAACTTATGTGACCTAATGGATTTGACCGCTAGTACTAAAACCACTCTCCATTCACTCATTTCCTCTCCACTTTCACCTAACAGCCTATCTCAATTTTTAAATTTCTTCTTATTAGCCTTTATTTGGTAGTATTGTTGCCCATTTTGTTTTAAAAATGTAAGTGACTATACCATTTATCTTGATAAGAGACAGGCCCTTCTCAATGGGATAACAGACTACCGCGATGTAACATTCTAGGAACTGTTTCTATTATTGTTCTTAAATGTGTGCATTTAGGGTATCTACCAAACAAAGCTAGTCTTAATCTTTCTTTCATTCATTTTCTGCATCATTTTTGAACTTTTAAAGTTACTGAATCTTAAATGGACAGCTACATCTTTATTCAGTGACTAATATTTGTATGTGTTTACCCCCAAGATAAAGGACTAGGTACTCTGGGTTTGGTTAGGATTCTGGTCTTTTCTGGAATCCTGCTTCCAGTCTTAAACTTTGGGCACTCTGGATACCAAAATGGTCACATTTGATACAGACCACCAGAATTTGCTGCTGCTTCTGTCATTCCATTTACAACTGTGGAAGCAAAACATCCCCCCTCTTGCCTCCCAGGGTGACCAAGTTTAATCTTGATAGGTAGACCAGTCACATTAAAACAGCTTCTTTAGCAACTGACCAGGTCTCCGAAACAGATGTTTTTACGTATGTATTTGTTCTTATGGCATATTCCTAGAAAAATACTCTGTCTATGGCTCTCAAAAGTGCAAATACTGAGCAGCTCCAAGAGTAACCACAGTCTGCTCTCTGGCTTCTGTTTTCATTGTCTTAAGGAATTTCAAGGACCACTCAGTGATGATCCACCACCCAATGTCCATTTTCCCACAAGCAAGGGCAGTACCCCTCTCCTTACCGGGAAGGACTTTGCAGCCTCTATCCCCACCCCAAAATATAGCGCTCTAAAGAAGCCACCTTTCCTAAAACACAACCTGAGAATATTGTTACAAAACTGGTTAAAAAAAAAAGCTTATTTCTTTCCAGAAATCCCGACTCCTTGTGAACTCTGCTTGAACCTAAAAAGCAGGAACGGGTCATAAATCACTTGGACAATGGTCAACTGTTCAGTGGCTCATCTTTTCGATCACACCCCCCCCCTTTTTTTTTAAGGCTTTCTTTTCTCGCCCTTTGGTACTTCTGCTCTTTTGGGCTACGGGACCCAAATGCCTAGGGGCGAAGACTAGCCGGTGTAGGGGGAGGGGCGGCCTTCGAAGTCCTCAGCTGCCCTTTCCTCTCACTCCTCCACCCCTCTACCCCCTACTCTCGCCTCCCCCGCTCCCCGACAGAGGCAGCCTCCCCAGAACCCCGCCGGCGCCATCCCCGGCCCCTCCTGGGGAAGGGGCGCCAAACGGGGTCCGGCTGGTTCTTTCTTGCGGTCCCAGGAAGTTGCCCAGCTCAGCTCAACTGCAGGCCAGGTATGCAGGGCCAAACGGTCCCAGCCGGAAGGAAGGCAGGCGGCCTTGGAGCGACCACCGCCCGCTCCCCCAGCCGCCCTGCCACGCCGCACCCGCCGCGCCTCCGAATCAGCCGAACCCTGATACTTGCTCACTGCACTTAATTCTGCCCGGGATCAATACCTAATATGATACCAAATAAATAAAAGGCGCTCACAGCGGCCGGGGGACGGGGTTATTAAGCAGCTGGAGCTCTCACGGTGCATATCAATGCACCTGTCATTGTGGTTTGTAACAAAATTTATGACTGCGAGCACGGCGGCTGTAAACGCTTCAGTAAGGAATGAAAAGAAAAACACTTCCTAAGGCCCGGCACTTTTCAGAAGTGGAAAACAGGCTCCGCGTAGGAGGAAGCGCAGCAAAAGAATTCCCTGCTCCGCACTTTTCCCAGCCCTGCGCCTGGCGAACAAGGGAATTATATAAAGTAGCCGGTGCCTGCCTCTGGGAGCAGCTCTGCTCGGCGGCCTGACGCGGGACGGGGCCGGACGCGGGACGGGACGCGCGCAGCCTGGGCCGGGGGCCGAAGACCTGCCGCCCACCGCGTCCTCGGGAAGCCAGGAGGCTCGCCGGACGAGCGGAGGCCGGGCCCAGCTTCGCCCGTCGTGGCGGCGGAAAGGCCGAAGGTCTTGGGGAGGGAGGGGGCGGTAGTGGCCGGACTGTGACTAGCACCGCGATCGTCGTAAATCACGGACGGGTATAGTCCGTGCAATCTGAAAGAGAAGGGAAAGGCGTTGGAGTGCAGATTGCTTCTGTTCCTCTCAGTTTTTTTCTAAGGTTCGAGCTGGTGTCAGTTTCTCTGTTTTGCCTGAACCAGGGCCTTGGAAGCCCACAGATCTCTTTCTGGCGGACACCGCTCTTGCTGGGCATCCCCGTTAATTCACTGGAACGTAGCAAAGATTCTTTCCTCTCTGTTGGCTTTACTACTTCGGGATTTTAAAACTACTTCTTTTCGGGTTTGCTCAGAAAGGGATATATTTACCACAGAGCTGGGGCAGCTTTCTGCCCACGCCCTCCCGATCTCTCAACCTGAGCTCTTCTACACTATGGGAAGCCCTGGATGTGCCTTCTAAATCACTCTTATTTAGCCCAGATAACTCGATATGTAATACACCCTGCATTTAAGGCACTGGGCTCACCCCATTAAAGCACCATAAATTTGAAGGCTGATGAACGGTTATCATGTAACCAGCAGCAGTTCACACTGAGGTGATCCACTTCAAAGCCGCCCTTTGTTTTATGTCTTGATGTATGAATCGTCAGATGGCTACCTTGAGTTTCAGGATAAATGGAAATGTAGTGGAAATTATTTTTAAAAACACCACCACTCACCACAATTTGTGTGTTTTCTTAAAATTTTGCCTCTAACTCTAGGCTTTTCGAGTTCCTTTTGATATTCTGCTGAGACAATTTGGAACAAAATGGAAAACTCAGTGGCAACCGGTTCTTTCTTACAAACACATGCTGAGAGACTTTACTCCCTTTAAGGGTGTCATAATCAATGTCACTATTGTATATGGTGTATTGTATATGGCAGGCAGTCCAAGCGACATCTCACTGGCAGAGAGGAGACTCGGCTGGCTCCTGGGGAGTGGATGGCTTTTAACACCAAAATTCTTGGCTCTGTTGGGGAAAGGGGGGAACCAAAACTGGACAGAAGGTCCAGACCCTCCACAGGGGGTGTAAGCCAAGTGGGTCAGAGGCACTGGAAAACCAGTCCCTCTCCTCCTACTCCAACCAAATCCTAAATGGTCCAGGTGACCCAATCCCCCAGGCCAAGCCCACCCTCTTAGGGCTAAAAGGGAGGGACTGTGCAGAATTGGGATGGGAGGGAGGCTACAGACTAGGGCATCAGAAAAGGAGGGTAGCTATGTAGATGGGCCTGGGTAGGTCCTAGTCAAGGCTTCGGCACGCAGCCCCAGTGAAGAGGGAGCTGGGTGCTATTTCTTGGTTTGTACATTGTATCTCTGATGGTTTCCCAGAATTTATTTTATCCCAGTAAGTACATTCCTGGTCTTGGCTGGCCTCGACTGGGCCAGGATCAGGCTGCAATCCACCTAAGAAACAAACTTCCCTTCCACCCCACCCCAAAACAGACCAAGTTGCCCACCACTGCCTGCGTTCAGCGGGTGCCCACTCCCGGTCAGGTGAAAGGAGAGACACAATCCCCCCCTTGCATCTGCCCTGTGCAATTTGTCGACTCAGTAGTTTGCAAACA